GGGTCCCTCTCTGTCCCCCCAGCCGGGACCGTGGGCTCTCTGCTCCATCTCCAGGGCGTCGGTGCCCTCCTCCACCTTCCTGGGGCCACCTGGGCCCGAGTCCTGGGGGCCCTCGGGGGCTTCCCCGGCCCTCGGGGGTCTCCCTTGGGTGTTCCTGGAGCTTTTGGGACCTTTGGGGACGTTCCTGGAGCTTTTGGGACCTTTGGGGACACCGCTGGAGCTCTTGGGACCTTCCTGGATGTCCTTGGGACCTTCTGGGATGTCACCAGAGCTCCTGGGACATTTGGGGACATTTTTGGAGCTCTCAGCACCTTCCTGAAGATTCTTAAAGCTCTTGGGACCTTCCTGGATGTCCTTGGAACCTTCTGGAATGTCACTGGAGCTCTTGAGACCCTCGGGGACATTTCTGGAGCTCTCAAGATCCTCCTGGATGTCCTTGTGACCTTCTGGGATGTCACTGGAGCTCTTGGGACTTTCAGGAACATTTCTGGAGCTCTTGGGACCCTCCTGGATGTCCCCGGGACCCTCAGGGACGTCCCCAAAGCTCCTGGGACTCTCTTGAACATCCCCGGAACCCTTGAGACCCCCAAAGCCACCACCAGTGCTTTGGGGACCATCGGGGACATCTCCAGCGCTCTCAGGACCCTCCTGGACCCCCTGGGCACCTTTGGGACCCTCTGGGACATCGTTGAGACCTCCAAGGCCACCAGCAGAACCTTGGGGAGCGTCGCCTTCTCCATCCTCATCTCCGTCCTTCCTCCTCCTCCTCCTCCTCCTCCGGGGTGGCCGCGGCCGCAGCCCCCGGCGCTCCCTGAGCCCCCGCCCGGCCCGGCGAGCACCCAAGGGTGGCCCGAGCAGCGGGACCCCGGCCGGAGGCGGCGGCGGAGCCGGTGGCAGCGAGCTCCAGGTGATCTCCAACAACCTCAACGCGTCCTCGAAGGCGAACTCGCGCTTGAGCTCCAGCAGCAACCAGCGGTAACAAAACAACAAATCGTGAGCTCCCCGAGAAGCCAAAAACGACCAAAAAACGGGGTCGGCGCGACGGAGGAGGCGCCGGAGGTGACAGAACGCCCGGGCCAGACCGCGTCCACCGGGACGGAACCGCGGGGCCAAACGGCGCATCAGCGAGCAAAAACACAAATAAGCCTGAGCTTCATCGTCCAGCACGGCCAGCAGCGGGGCCGCCACGTCCGACATGCCCTGGCAGTAGGACAGGTGAGGGTGGCCCAAGGCGAAGGTGGTCAGCAGGGCCTGGAGGGCGGCCAGGTGAGGGTGACCTTCCTCGGGGCCGCCGAAATACGGGTGGGCGCGGTCGGTGCGGACGACGTCCTTGCGGACGGCGGCGGCCACTTGGGACAGCTCGGCCGGAGCGGCGCGGGCGGCCAGGGCGGCCTTCAGGGACAGGTACTCGGCTGCTTTGAGGCGCAGGTGGGACAGGCGCTCCTGGCCCGTGAGACCCGAGGGGAACACGTTCAGCAGGTAACGCCAGACCACCTGGAAAATGGGAAAAAAATGAGAAAAATGGGAAAAATGGTGTCAGGGACCCCCAGGTGGGACAGGCGCTCCTGGCCGGTGAGACCCGAGGGGAACACGTTCAGCAGGTAACGCCAGACCACCTGGAAAATGGGAAAAAATGGGAAAAATGGGAAAAATGGGAAATTTGGGTTAGGGGTGTCAGGGACCCCCAGGTGGGACAAGTGCTCCTGGCCGGTGAGACCCGAGGGGAACACGTTCAGCAGGTAACGCCAGACCACCTGAAATGGGGGAAAAATGGGAAAAATGGGAAATTTGGGTTAGGGGGGACAGATGAGGGGTGTCAGGGACCCCCAAGTGTGGGTCAGGGACCTCCAGGTGGGACAAGTGCTCGTGGCCAGTGAGACCCGAGGGGAACACGTTCAGCAGGTAACGTCAGACCACCTGGAAAATGGGAAAAATGGGAAATATGGGACCCCCAGGTGGGACAAGTGCTCCTGGCCGGTGAGATCCGAGGGGAACACGTTCAGCAGGTAATGCCAGACCACCTGGAAAACGGGGAAATTGGGATCAGGGACCCCAGGTGTGAGTCAAGGAGGGAACAGGTGCGATCTCAACCTCCAGGTGTGACCCAGGTGTCATCAGAATCCCTCAGGTGTGCCCAGGTGTGGCCCAGGTATGACCCCACCCCCTTAGGTATGTCTCAAGTGTGTCTCAAGTGTGACCCCACCCTCTCAGGTATCCCCAAGTGTATCCCAGGTGTGTCCCAGGTGTGACCCCACCCCCTCAGGTATGCCTCAAGTGTGACCCCACTCCCCCAGGTGTACCCAGGTATGTCCCAGATGTGTCCCAGGTGTGTCCCAGTTGTATCCCAGGTATGTCCCCACCCCCTCAGGTGTCCCCAGGTGTGTCCCAAGTGTGTCCCAGGTGTGCCCAGGTGTGCCCCAGGTGTGTCCCCACCCTCAGGTGTCCCCAGATGTGTCCCAGATGTGACCCCACCCCATCAGGTGTCCCCAGATGTGTCCCCACCTCCCCAGGTGTGCCCCAGGTGTGTCCCATGTGTGTCCCCACCCCCTCAGGTGTATCCCCAGGTGTGTCCCAGGTGTGCCCAGGTGTGCCCCCACCCCCTCAGGTGTGTCCCAGATGTGTCCCCACCCCCCCAAGTGTGCCCCAGGTGTGCCCAGGTGTGCCCTAGGTGTGACCCCACCACCTCAGGTGAGTCCCAGGTGTGTCCCCACCCCCTCAGGTGTGCCCAGGTCTGTCCCAGGTATGACCCCACCCACTCACATGTCCCCAGGTGTATCCCAGGTGTGCCCAGATGTGTCCCAGGTGTGTCCCCACCCCCTAAGGTATCCCCAGGTATGTCCCAGATGTCCCCAGGTGTGCCCCAGGTGTGTCCCCACCCCCTCAGGTGTCCCCAGGTATGTCCCAGGTATCCCCAGATGTGCCCAGGTGTGTCCCCGGTGTGTCCCAGGTGTGTCCCAAGTGTGTCCCCACCC